CTCACTCCAAGATGCTGGTGGATGCGTTGGCTAAACACGACATCGGGAAGTTCAATGCCGTTCTTTTCCAGGTCATGGCCCGCGCTGGTGGATGAGCCGAGAGACTTGGAAGCTCGACGCACCACCCCCGAGCGCAAAGACCGATCACGAGCTGCCTCCGAGAGGATGCTGGAGTCCGAGAATGGATCATCGATGGTTTCCTCGTGTCCATAGCTCAGCCAAGGGTGATTGAGTGACCTTGGTCTCCTCTCTTTCCTTCTTTCTTTATATGTATTTTCTCTCTTTCTCTTTCTGTCTCTCTCTCTCTCTCTCTCTCTCGTGCAGAACTGTCGCACCTGACCGGCATTGTTTGATGACCTGAGGTCTTCAGGAAGCCAAACCTATTTGAAAGTTTGTTGAGTGTGGAAGCCCACCTCGTTTCGTGCGTTTCTGGTGTATTACAGAGGTTTAGCTTGACACTGTATTTAGTGTTGCAGGGGTAGCTGTCTGCTCTATAGAGGGAGCGCAGAGAGATATGACTGTTATCATGTTGGCTCAAGATGGAAAAGGCTCATTGCTATCGGCTTTGCTGCCACACCAGGGGTCCGGCCCGTGAGGTCGTGGATACGCATATTTGTTTCGCCCACTGGTGTTTTTTTTTGGGGGGGGGCCTCAAGAGCGACGAGGTCGTCGACGCCGTGTTTTGGCAGCTTTTTCTGGAGGTCGTGTTTTTGGGGGTTTCAGGGCCCACGGGGCGGCCCCAGGGGTCCAGATGCTGATAGCCGAGGGTCGGGCTCCCGTGGGGCCCGGGGATCGAGGTTCGACAAATGTTCCACTATTTTCGGCTTGGGGCCCGTCCAGGGCAGGTGCACTGTCAAGAGTCGGCCTGGGATGGGAAGCTGGCGACGATGACGACAACGACGACGACGCCGACGACGACAACGACGACGAGAGCGAGGACGACGACGACGAAAGCGAGGACGACGGCGCGACGACCATGATGACCACGGCGACGACGACGAGGACGACGACGACGACGACGACGACGACGACGACGACGACGACGACAGCGACGACGGCGACGGCGACGGCGACGGTGCCGACGACGGCCGACGCCGACGCCGACGTTGATGGCAGCAGCTGCTGGCGCTCGTCCAGATGCTGATGGCCCTCACTGGGAGCCCTTTTCGGGGAGAAGGACCGTCAAACATCCATCCAGGATGGAACAAATTCCAAGATGGATTCCGGGAGGGGTCCGAGTACGGATTTTGAGGATCGGGCTCGCAGGCCTCGGGAGGAGGAGGAGGAGGAGGAGGAGCGAAGTTCGAAGGTCAAAGTCGGGGCGCGGTTTTCACAAGTTCTGGGCATCATCGAGGCTTCTCGTCGCCACGAGTGGGTCCGCCTGGACATTGCTGTCGGAACGCATCTTCAGGAGGAAGACAAGGATCGAGGGTCGCGGTTTCGCAGTGTTTTTGGACGCCTCTTTGGTCTCCTTCGCTGTGGGCCTCCAGGGGGCCCAACAAATGCGGATGGCCGATCCTTCGGGCTCTGTGCTCCCGGGGCCTTGAGGACGAGCAGGGGATGGACGTGGAGGAGGGGGTGCCTGCTCGCCCTCCTCCCCCGACTCCTCTTCCTGTCCCGCCTTCCTCTTCCCTCCTTTCCCTCATACCGAACCGGAACGCGGCCTGGACATGGCTTGTCGGAGGGCCGCGCAGATTCGAGGGGTCGGCGCTGGGCCTCTCGCCCTTGGCGCGATCCGCTCGCCAGGGAGGGGGGGGCGTTTCGAGGGAGGTGCAGCGCTGACCCCAGAAGTCCGCACGGATCTCCGAGAGTGTATTTCGATGTTGCTAGGGGGGTCTACATTCATATGTTCATATGTGTATATATATATATATATATAGATATAGATATGTGTATGTATATATATATATATATATATATATATATATATGTATGTATAGGGGGCCCGGCTGCTGCCTCTGGTCGCCATGGGGGCCCCCCGGGGCCATTTTCTGGCACCCCTCACGAGGATCGTGGCCCTCTCGCCGAAAATTCCAGCCCTCAGTCGCCAGAAGCCTCCGAAGAGGCCACAAGAGGCCCCAAGTGGTCCCCTGAGGGCCCCAAGAGAGCCCTAAGAGGGCCCCTGAGGGCCCCAACAGGGCCTTCAAGAGGCAAACATCGGCACATTTCCTATGTAAAACGTACATTTTCGGCATACTCGCTGGCTTCGTCTTCACAGTGCCCCAGACGCCCCCGCGGAGCGCCCCAAGACAGTCCAAGAGAGACCCAAGAGGGCCCTAGACGGCCCAAAAGGGTCGGCTGGGGCTCACCGAACCCTCCGAGACGGCCCAAAATGCCCCAAAGCTGGCCCAGGAGGCCCCCAAGACGGCCTGAGGGAGGCCCAAGAGGGCCTCGATCGAAATCGTCTTCCCGGAAGCCTCTCCGGGAACATGACTTCTGGGTTCCGAGGACGCCCAAGAGGCCCACAAGACAGCTTCATCGAGGCCCCAGAGGGCTGGCGTGAAGATGGCCGAAGAGAGCCCCAAGAGGGTCCTCAAGAGGCAGAAATCAGCCCATTTCCTTTGTAAACCGTACATTTTCAGCATACTTGCTGGCTTCGTCTTCGCAGTGCCCCAGACGCCCCTGAGGAGCCCCAAGACAGCCCAAGAGAGACCCAAGAGGGCTCCAGACGGCCCAAAAGGGTCGGCCTGGGCTCACCGAACCCCTCGAGACGGTCCAAGAGGCCCCGAAGCCGGCCCAGGAGGCCCCCAAGACGGCCTCAGGGAGGCCCAAGAGGGCCCCGTTCGAAATCATGTTCCCGGAAGCCTTTCCGGGAACATGGTTTCCAAGCTCCCAGCGCTCCCTGCTGGGCCCCAGGACAGCTTCAGCGAGGCCCCAGAGGGCCCGAGATGGCTTGAAGATGGCCGAAGAGGACCCCAAGAGGGGGCCTTCAAGAGGCAAAAATCTGCCCATTTCCCTTGTAAAACGTACATTTTCAGCATACTCGCTGGTTTCGTCTTCACAGTGCCCCAGACGCCCCCGCGGAGCCCCAAGACAGCCCAAGAGAGACCCAAGAGGGCCCCAGACAGCCCAAAAGGGTCGGCCTGTGGGGCTCACCGAACCCCTCGAGACGGTCCAAGAGGCCCCGAAGCCGGCCCAGGAGGCCCCCAAGACGGCCTCAGGGAGGCCCAAGAGGGCCCCGTTCGAAATCATGTTCCCGGAAGCCTCTCTGGGAACATGGTTTCCGGGTTCCGAGGACACCCTAGAGGGCCCCAGGACAGCCTCAGCGAGGCCCAAGAGGTCCCGAGATGGCTTCAAGATGGCCGAAGAGGGCCCCAAAGGGGCCTTCAAGAGGCAAAAATCAGCCCGTCCCCGTAGTAAAACGGACGGACTCGGCGCGAGACAACTGGCGACCGCAGCTGCCGTCGCTTCGTGCTGGGCGCGTGCGAACCTGGCGTTCAGTTTGGACGGAACGTGTCGGGTCTGTTGCCAATCGGGGCTGCGCCAGGTTAGGCCACCCCCAAGGTCAGGTTCGGGAATGGGTCGTAGCAACACGACGACGACGACGACGACGACGACGACGACGACGACGACGACGACGACGACGACTCCCCAAGACGCCCCAAACCCATGCTCCCAGAAGGCCTTCTGGGAACCCGATTCATACGGCCTCCGCCCCCCTACACAACCATTTTCCTCGAAGGCCTTTCGGAATGCAGATTGGTATGCGTGGACTGTGGTCCACTACTTCAGTGGAGCAGTGAATTCGTCAAGGCCTGGGGCCTGCTAGAACCTGAGCGCGCGCAAAGCGCGCGCGATGGATCTAGTATATATATATATATATGTATATCCGTAAGGGCTTCGCCCCCTGCCGCCGGCCCCCTCTCTCGGAGAATGGGCCATGGAAGAGCTAAGTCATGAGGCTTTGGCGCTGTCGCGCAGCAGTATCGGAACTTCATGCGAGGCCGATACGCAATCGGGAAAACCAACTGATCACAAGAGGGGTTACCACACAGGGCGATTGGTAAGACGTGTATGGTTTACGAGCTTGGTTACCACACCTTGGGATTAAAGCGCCGAGGGAGTACTCGCAGTTTGGGTTACCACGCCTTGCGATGGATGTCCGTGAGGGGTGGCACCGAATTTCAGAAATGTGGCAAATCCCTTTGTGTTTTTGGACCCTGACCCCGCGGATCTGCGTGAGGGGTGGAACAGAATTTCAGAAATGTGGCAAATTCCATGTGTTTTTGGACCCTGACCCCGCGGATCTGCGTGAGGGGTGGCACCGAATTTCAGAAATGTGGCAAATCCCCCTGATGTGTTTTGGACCCTGACCCCGCGGATCTGCGTGAGGGGTGGCACCGAATTTCAGAAATGTGGCAAATCCCCTGTGTTTTTGGACCCTGACCCCGCGGATCTGCGTGAGGGGTGGCACCGAATTTCAGAAATGTGGCAAATCCCATGTGTTTTTGGACCCTGACCCCGCGGATCTGCGTGAGGGGTGGCACCGAATTTCAGAAATGTGGCAAATCCCATGTGTTTTTGGACCCTGACCCCGCGGATCTGCGTGAGGGGTGGCACCGAATTTCAGAAATGTGGCAAATCCCCTGTGTTTTTGGACCCTGACCCCGCGGATCTGCGTGAGGGGTGGCACCGAATTTCAGAAATGTGGCAAATCCCCTGTGTTTTTGGACCCTGACCCCGCGGATCTGCGTGAGGGATGGCACCGAATTTCAGAAATGTGGCAAATCCCATGTGTTTTTGGAACCTGACCCCGCGGATCTGCGTGAGTGGTGTCGATTTCGAGCCCCCCCAGCAATTCAGACAACGCGCCCAGGGGGTGCTAAAAAATCCTGTTCGGGCCTCCCCCCCTCGCGCGGTCAATCAACGAGTTACAGTAACCAGCAAGAAGCAGAATTGTAACACTGGAAACTACAAGCTACAACTGGTACTGGAAACTGCGAACCCGCGCCTACAGCCTGGTGGCCCCACAAGGGGGCCGGCGGATATATAGGTGTGCACTCTTCCCTCTCTTCCTGTCCCGTGCGGATGTTTCGGTCAGGCCCTGCTCAGGGGCTTAGGTAATTCTTGTCGCCCCCACTCAATCACCAAGGCTACGCGCGAATACCCTGACAGGATAGATCTCGACCTGTTGCCCACGTGCTGCGCTCTTCCTTTTATCACTTCGTGATGCAGGACATCCTGGAAATCCCTCACCAACACAGGGGCCCCAAAGTTGGCCCGGGTGTCGGGGACGCCGTGAACCAGTGTCATTTCTATCAACACCCGCGAGGAGCCGCTGGCGCAGCTCGCATCGACCCAGCAGTTCCGCAGGCTTCTGAGCATCGGGCAGAGCCCCCCGATCCAGGAGGTCATCCAGGCGGGGGTCGTGCCGCGCTTTGTCCAGTTCTTGAGGACGGTCTCGCGGCCGGACCTGCAATTCGAGGCTGCGTGGGTGCTCACGAACATTGCCTCTGGGACTGCAGAGCAGACCAGGGTCGTCGTCGAGCACGGGGCGCTGCCCGTGTTCGTGGAGCTGCTCCAGTCCCCCAGCGATGAAGTGCGCGAGCAGGCGGTGTGGGCGCTGGGCAACATCGCCGGCGACTCCCCGAGCTTCCGCGACCTCGTGCTGCAGAGCGGAGGCCTGAGCGCCGTCATCATGGTCCTGCAGGCGTCGCCACGGAGAGAGAAGGGGGGGGCCTGGAGGCAAGGGGTCCTGTGTGTGCTCCCCCGTCGTCGGCCTCCCAGGTCCCTCCTGGGGCCCCCGGGATCGTCAGTCAGCAGAAAGACTCGGGATGAAGCACATGTTTTTGGGAAAGGCCCAAGGATCCAGGACTTGCTTCCCCCAGGGCCTGTTTCTCCCATGACGCAGGCGTCCGAGAGGGTTACCCTGCTGCGAAACGCCACTTGGACACTGTCCAACCTGTGCCGAGGGAAGCCGCTGCCGCCATTCGAGTGGGTGTCCCCAGCCCTTGGTACGCTGGCGAGTCTCATCCACTCTGCAGACGTCGAGGTGCTCGCGAATGCGTGCTGGAACTTGTCGTATCTTGCCGACGGCCCGAACAACTGGGTAGAGGCGGTGACCAACGCTGGCGTTTGCCCGCGCCTCGTGGAGCTCTTGTCGCACAGCTCGCCGCTGGTACAAACGTCCGCACTGCGGGCCGTGGGCAACGTTGCCACGGGGCTCAACCGCCAGACGCAGGTGATCCTGGAGAGCTGTGCGCTGCCCGCACTGCTCAAGCTGCTCGCGCACACAAGCAGGGCGATTCGGAAGGAGGCCTGCTGGACGATATCCAACATTACTGCGGGTAGCCAGGAGCAGATCCAAGAAGTTATCGATCAAGGACTCATGGTTCCTGTCATTGGCTTATTGCAGACTGGCGACTTCGACGTCAAGAAGGAGGCCGCATGGGCGATCAGGAACGCGCTTTCTGGCGGCTCACAGCAGCACATCGAGCATTTGGTGGCGCGTGGGTGTACCAAGCCCATGATGGATTTGCTCTCCATCCCCGATGTCAAGATCACAGCAGTGGCGCTCGAAGCCGTCGAGATAATTCTGAACGCGGGCAAGCGGATGCAGCTGACGCTTGACCTTCCAGAGAATCCGTTCTGTACGCTCGTGGAACAGTTCGAGGGCGAGAGGAAGATCGAGGCACTGCTGGAAGACCCCAACGAGGATGTGTACCGAAAAGCTAGGGGCATTCTCGAACAGCACTTCGCCGGCGATGGCGACGATGCCGAAATAGCAGACGCTGACGCAGGGGGCGCTGGGATCTCCGGCGCGCAGGTGCCGCCAGGGGGCTTCGCCTTCGGGGGCATGAGCATCCGCGACGATGCCGAGATGGCGGGCGCCAGAGGGGTCGCCGGATTCTTGAGCGCGCAGGTGCTTCCTCCACCTCCTCCTCCTCCTCCTCCTCCTCCTCCTCCTCCTCCTCCTCCTTAATACGACCTCTGGTTGTGCTGGATTTTGAAGCGTGGCCGGCAGGGCGCTTCTGTATCAGTCTCTCGTAGGCCGCCGCGCCTGCGTGCCTCGGCGAGTGCAGCGGCCCGAAGTCGGCCAGGCCCGCCCCGTCGAAGGCCTGGCGCCGCGCTCCGCGGCACCTGTCCTGCGAGATCGGGACCCCCGTCTTTCCCCTGTTCGGGGGAGGGCTTTTATCACGGTCCTCTGAGAGCATGTCCAGCCACTCTAGCCAATCTCGTGAAACACTCGGCGAATCACTCGGAGCGCGCAACTGGCTCTCCGCAGGTGCCTCCCAGTGGCTTCGCCCTCGAAGGCATGGACACCCAGGAGCGCTAGGCACGGGCGGCCGCCGGGCAGGCGCCCCCTTGGCAGGCCGAGCGGCGGCCGGCCCGCACGAGGCCGCGTCGCCGGAGAGCCGCGAGCTGCAGACCGAGAGGCAGCCGATCGGCGGCGACGACGAGGGCGAATGGCCCAGGGGCGGGCATGACACGCATTCGCCCGGGAGCCTCGCCGAAGACGGGGATCGTCGGCGCCCCTGGATGCAGTGTATTGCTCCCCCC